GGACATGGCTTCATGTGTACACATTGCACGATCAAATATTGCCAATGAATGGTCACTTTTCAAACCAGGGTCTAGGAATTTTTTGGGGGGCATCGGGAACGCCGATCAATAGGTGTTTCAGTATCTATCTATCAAGGTCAACAAAACTATTGATCATGCGTCCGGGTGTGGTATACACGTGAAGAGTTGAAATGTCGATTTCGGTTGTTTGTAATCAACTTCGGACGAACTTATTTCAGAGGAGAGTGATAGGAAATGAGCACTTGATATTGTTAGGCAATAGAACCTAGTTTCGGTTAACACGTAGAACCGAGTAATGAATGCGATAGATATGAGGAATAGCAACGGGGGTAACGGTGTTCAACCGTTGTGACACATGACATTGATCATGACCATGTTGATTACATAGCGAAGAGATTCGTTTGAAGATCTACGACACATGTATCCATGACCAACCAGTAGTCATGTGTGTCAATAATTTCGAAATAAGCTTGGAACCTAATCACATATTGAATATGAGCAATGATAAAAATTCATGGTGATTTGGGAAGTAGTTAGTCAGAGGAAAATTGAATGCCTGATCGAGTACCGAACTACTCACCCTCTGTCGGATCAATAGTATAAAAATAAAGTGTTCCATCACCCATGGCTGCAAACAGATGGGCAGAGTCCTCCAGTTGTGCTATTAACACAGATCGGGGTAGTAATGCAGTGCCCGTGGAAGCTGTCGTTTCCGGAAGGGGTTCTTCATGCAATATGTCTAAGGTGGGCAGTTGGAGTAGGGCTAGACCATGCCCAAGCCAAAGACCGACANGGGATCAGGGGGAGAATCACTCGATAACGGACGGCCAAAGACTGTTGCAGCGCGGGCGTGATCGAATGGAGTCAGGTCGATGCAGGCAACTTCGTGTGGCATGGTACGATGACTGGTAGACGGGAAAGCAAGGGGGGGGGAGGGGAGGGGATTGGTCATTAGTTTTCCTTGTAAACAGGGGGAGGGGAGTATACCTTGTCTAGGACAATTCACTGAGCTCTGACATATACACCACGAGGAATGAATCAGAACAAAATGGAGCTGAACATCAGCACCAAAATGTTATCGCACAAACCCAACGGAAAAGTACCAAACAGTTCAGGAAATGGAACTGTGGGATGAAAAATATAATTAGAACCACCTGCCTTTGATGTGTGTATGTGTGTTATTGGTTACCTTGCCAGCACAATCGCATGGATCAGCTAAATGGCCAGCGCACGTCTGGGAAAATACCGAATCTAACTTTGTCACGGAGATTGAGTTCATGCCAAGATAGTGGAGGATACCACTTACGCAAGTTGTTCAAATGTGGGAGCATCTGGGGCACCCGTTACTTGAAGTGCATACAATTCCGTCCCACTGGCCACAACAACCAGAGAATGATGGGAGCTCAAGCAGGAAACACCTCGACCGCTGGGTGGGCGCCATTCCACCAAACAACCACGACTTCGTAGGGCCCGGATTCCAATGAGACGGATACCGGAGGTAGTTGCTTGTAGCAAAAGAGAGTCCTCAGCGGACCGCAAGGAATCCACAGACATTGCATTTGGTTTAGAAGATTGAGCTGGTGACAGTGTTGCGCAATAAACAGTCTGTTCGTCCATTTTGAATCCTTCTAAACGTAGGGCAGAGATGTCGTCATTCTCGAGCATAAGTAATCTGCAAAATCGTAATAAAAAGGAACAGTAAAGACATGAGTAATAATCCTGTTTGAATAAAATACGTTTGTCTTTGGAATACAAAATGTATTCGTAAAATAGAATAAAAATAATTAGGGCCCAGAAGAACTTCGTGTGATCCTTTAACTGAAAGTAACTAACATCAAGAGATAATGAATTCCCTGAGGCGGTCGGAAGATTTGGGTTGTGAAATTTCATTGTTGAGCGTTTCTATTGACGCAGAGGCTGGTGAACGACCGACAAGGAAACTGAATACTACCCGAGCACACCAACAGCTATGATGACATCCTACAGGGTTGGGTATATGGACTGATCAACTTCGTTCAAAAGATCCTCCCAACCACTGCAGACCGCACCACCGGAATCAAATTTCCCGGTCAACCAAATTAGACGAGATGATCATTTAGTGTGCTCAAAACACCCGATCAATTATCGAAACTTCATAAACCGACAAAATGAACGTTTGCATTTATTGTCTAAACAGTCCCACAGAGCACATTTTCAAATAGAACAAGGAGTGGCGAACAAGCTCGTTTTCTGTGATTCGTAGTCATGCCAAATACATCACAATAAATATTACGCTGTTTATTTACAAATCGGTATTCAATCATAAAAACGTAAACAAATGTTTATTTATTGTGATGTATTTGGCATGACTACGAATCACTGAAAACGAGCTTGTTCGCCACTCCTTGTTCTATTTGAAAAGTTTGCATTTATATTAACTGGTCCAAATAGACTGAAGCAAAATTTTCATCGCAGTGATCAGTGAGGTTCGCTTCACTAGATTTCATTGTACGATGATGATCATGAGTATTGGTTCACTGAGTACGGGACACGAGTGTATGCTGCGGCAGTTCGGCCAGTTCTGCTATACAGTGCAGAAACTTGGCCATTAAGGAAGCAGGATAAAGATAGACTGTCGGTGTTTAAACACTGGTGCCTACGCAGCATTGCACGAATCTGGTGGGGTAGCCGGACGAGCAATGCTGAGGTCAGGTGCAAAGTTTTAGGCAACCACGGTCGCCCACTGGAGCAAATGGTCGACCTCTATAGATTACGTTGGTTGGGGCATGTGTTACGCATATCATCAGATAGGTTACCACGGTGCGCAATGTTTGCTGAGGCGGGGAGTGGGTGGAATAAAGTCAAAGTTGTTAAACTAAGACATTGCATGAGGGTATGAAAACCCTAACCAGGAATCTGGGTCACACAGGTCCCGTTAGGCTCCCTGGCTAGTGACCTCGGGATGATCGTAACCGACGGTTAGAGACGCTGAGTGATATGGCTGTTTCATAAACAGTGGCGTTCGTGCATCTCAATTTCTCTTCAACGTTAGTCCACCGAAATTCTAAATTTTCTCTTTGATCCTACTTTCAACTTTTCCCGCCTTTCTGCTAATGTTCATCCAAATGGGCAGCCAAAGAACAGTAACCAAACCCGGCGCGCGAAAGTGCATGGTTAATGGTTCAATAAACTGAACTGAACTAAGTATGGGACAATGTTTAGGAATGTGACGGGTTTTCACCCGACAAGTAGTGGCTCGGTGGTAACGTCACCAAATTATCACCTCGGGGATGTGTTCGAATCCTACCACCACCGCCTGACTTTCCCCATTGTGTTGAATGGCAGCTCTTTGATTGGCCGCTTCCCCCTTCCTGAAAATTTTACCATTGCATATTCAAGAAGAAGAAGTAAAATAAAAAGTTGACTCTCGCTAGCAAAAAAGACACCAAATGGGGTGGAAAGAAAGAGTCGGAACATGGGCGACCTTGGCCAGCCACCAGCTAGAGCCATTGTCATCACCCTACAGGTAGCACTTGGTATGAGAGCAATCGGTGAGTCTTCGAAGAACAAAACAGAGAGTACCCGCTTAAATCACGCATCCCTGCGTGTTGCTCTGTCCAAGCCATCACGACGAGACTGCACCTTGGAGTGGTGTGATGCATTGCGTGCTTCAATGATCCTGTGAGCCATATAGGATGGCTCCTCACAGCCGCAGATCAAATCATGCCTGAAAAGACAGAGGAAGCCGGACAAATGTTCCGGTTAGGGTTCCCAAAGAAAAACCCCTTCGTTGATGTGGGCTGTTGCGAAGTATGTCATGCCCTAAAATCTTAGGCACCCATTTGGAAAACTATCTTTCCTATGCTTGTTCGTCGTATCGGTACATGCACTGACCGATTGCAGTACACCTGAAATCAAGGATGACTTCTACAAGGATCCTTCCCAATTACTCTAATGTGTTCGATCAGCGGACGTCATAGTAGTCGCCGGAGACCTCAATGCTCAAGTAGGATCGCTGAACGAATCAGAGAGGCCTCTTGGCGGACCTCATGCACCCCCAGCCAACCGGAAGGGCAACGGAGATTGCCTACTTTAACTCTGTGCCGA